CCCTGCCAGGAGTAATTACTGCATGCTGCATGCAGAGCCAGGAGTAACCCCTGTGCATTGCCGGCTGTGACCCAAAAAGGCCAAAAAAAAAAAGACACTTGGGGCTGGAGTGATAGTACAGCAGGTAGGGCGTTTGCCTTGCACGTGGCCCACCTGGGTTCGATTCCCAGCATCTCATCTGGTCCCCCAAGCACCGCCAGGGGTAATTCCTGAGTGCAGAGCGAGGAATAACCTCTGTGCATAGCCGGGTGTGACCCAAAAAGAATAAAAAAACACTTATCAGCCCACTCTGGTTTGATCCATAGTTTCACATGTTTCCCTGTTCACTGCTGGGAGTGCCTCGTAGGACACAGCTAGTCACCAAGAACTCCCACATGTGGGGCCAGAGCCATAATATAGCAGGTAGGGCATTTGTCTTGCACCCAAGCAGCCCAGGTTTTATTCCCAGCATCCATATGGTCCCTGAAGCCCCACCAAAAGTAATCCCTAAGTGAAGAGGCAGAAATAAGCTCTGATCACCACTGTGACAACCTGTCCCCCCAGAAAAGAACTACCAGATGTGGTCCAAAAATAAATACACATAATATACAAGTACTCCACAAATAAATACAATCTGAAAACACAATCACTACAATAGTAAGTACTCAGAAATTATTTCACTTATTATGCCCAAACTATCAAAGTTAGCTATGTAACTGTTCTTTGTCCTTGAAACTGCATGAGTATTGTCTGTGCTACATGTAGCTAGGAAATACTAAACCTCACAAAGCATGAAAATAAAGTGACTTGGGTTGGAGCAATAGTACAGTAGGTAGAGCATTTGTCTTGCACATGGCTGAACCAGGTTCAGTTCCAGTGTCCCATGTGGTTCCCTGAGCACCACCAGGAGTAATTCCTGAGTACAGAGTCAGGAGTAACCCCTGAGCTTCGCCAGGCATAACCTAAAAAGACCAAAAAAGAAAAGAAAAGAAAGTAACTTTTACCAAATATTGATCACAGATTAGTGTGAGAACTAATATTTCACTCCGAAAATTCAGGTGAAATAACATCATTAAAACATTTGTTTTTTATGCTGGGACCCACACTATTCATGAGAGAGACCCAAGTTTGAATACTGACACTCCACGGTCCTGACAGCTGTGGCCCAAAAGCCAAAAAACTAATCAAAATGAAAATTGTTCTCCTGGAGGCAAGGAGAAAGCTCAAAGGGCTGGAACAAATGCTTTGTTTGCAGGAGCCCCTGCGTTCACGCCTGCTGCTGTTTCCCTGAGTACCAAGAGCAATCTATGCACCACTCTGAAATTAGCACCTTCTCCAGCAAGCACCACAGTGTGGCCCCAAAACTAAATAAACATTTGCCCGAATGGCAGAGCCTGGCAAGCTCCCCGTGATGTATTAGATATGCCCAATATCAATAACAAGTCTCACAATGGAGACATTACTGGTGCCAGCTCGAGCAAATGGATGAACAACAGAATGACAGTGCTACAGTGCTATTCTAGGGACAGAGAGATAGCTTCAAGGATTGAAGTACAAGTATTGCATGTGCTAGACTCAGGGTTCAGTTCTCAGCAAAAAATGAACTGTTCTAACAGTCATGCAGTCAGTCTGAGCACTGAATTCATTATACAGCCCAGCTGGTGAAGCATCATCAGAATTAATTAGCTGAGTATTCCTTGTAAGGCCAAAAGATTATTTATTTATTCATTTGTTTATTTGGTTAAGAAGTGAAACTTATTGTGGTAGGTGGGATGGGGGATTGAGTGCTGAGGGGACTGGAGGGGACAACTCCAAAGTTCTCAGAAGTTCAGTGCCCGCTATTTGTCCAGAGGCTCACGATTAGGGGTGTATTGGTTCCCACAATCTTCTGGAATGAGCTGCTTCTCAGCCACCAGGTCTTCAAACCTCATTTGTATTAAACTTGTTCAAGCCCCACTTCTTGGAGATGTGGACTTTTCTGATGACCAATAAACTTGAACTTGTCCTGAATCAAAGCTCAATCAGATGTTCCTTGTTCTGCACTTTGGTGTGGATGGACAGGATTACTTGGCCAATGTGGACTCTGGCCATCATGCCCTGGGACTTTCCAAAGGTTCCTAAATACCTGTTTGGAATCTGAGATTGAGGCCAGCATGAGAGCAGATAGGATTATCCATGGCAAAGGACTGTCCCCAAGGTGTCTTATTATAGCCCGTACAAGCCAGAGGCTGAGGACACTACCGAAGAGGCTGCTTGCTGTCTGCAGCCATTGCACACTGGACCCCACTAACAAATTAACTACAAAAAAAAAAACTCACTTGGGCCCGGAGTGATAGCAAAGCGGGTTGGGTGTTTGCCTTGTACACAGCCGACCGACCTGGTCTCCCAAGCACCATCAGGAGTAATTTCTGAGTGCAGAGCCAGGAATAACCCCCTGAGCAAAGCTGGATATGACCCCAAAAGAAAAAAAAAAGCTGAAACTCAAAGCACTGTGTGTTCTTGGGGTTGGAGAGATAGCACAGCAGGTAAAGCTTATATGTAGTCAACTTGGGTTCCATTCCTGGCACCCCAAATGACCCCTGAGTTCAGGGCCAAGAGTAAGGCCTGAATAATGCCAGGTGTTGTTCCAAAACCAAGTAACAACAGGAATCCAAACAAAAAAATTTGATGGAGGGATAATACAAAGGGTAAGGTACTTGCTTTGCATGCAGCCAAACTGTGTGCAATCCCTGGCACCCTGAATTATCCCCTGAGTCCCACCAGGAGTAATCTCTGAATACAGCCAGGAGTAAGTCTTGGGCATCACCAGGTGTGTCCCTTCCTCAGGAAAAAAAAGTCCCCCCACCAAAAAAGGTTTGTCAGCATCAATGCTGTGGGGGCTAGAGATATTAAACAGGGTAAGGCCTTGCATGCAGCAGCTGATTAGGGTTCACTCTTGGGCACCTCATATAGTCCACATGTGAAGTTTGTGCTCTTTCATAAGGTTACATTCACTGTGTCTATATCTCATTTTTATTTATCATCTTGCATCTTATAACTAAAAACGTGACAGTGTCTACTTGAGGGCCTGATCTGAAATCACTATGTGTTTGTTCATTTGTTTTTAGGCCACACCTTCTCCATACCAGGCTGTGGAGGAGGGCAGTCTGTTCCCTGTTTGGGTATTACTTGCTCTCTGCAGTGTTCAAGGGACCTTTATAGTATTTGGCTATTGAATCTGGGCCTCCTACAAGCCAAGTATGTGCACTAGCAATCTCACCTAACTCCCTGGCCCTGCACAGGCAAAACTGAATAGAAAAGGGACTTAAATTCTCTCAGATGAATTTGTTGAAGAAAGAAAAGAAAGAAGACAGGTCATTCACCTTTTCTGTGCTTTTTCCTCACTTACATAACCTTATGGAAGGATAGTTTTGAAATTAGACTTAACATGTGAGGAGTTTTGAAAACCAAGAATGAAAATAGGGCAGGACGGTGATTCAATAAATAAAATTATAAAAAATGAAAAAAAAAATCCGAGACTTAGACCCGAAAGCTTTGTAACTGCTCTCATGGTGATTCAATAAATAAAATTATAAAAAATGAAAAAAAGAATAAGGCAGGAGAGAGAGGTCAATGCACTGAGTTCATGGTTTCTTTTTTGTTGTTGTTTGTTTTCTTTTTAGTTTGTTTTTTTGGGCCACACCTGTTGGTATTTAGGGTTTTTTGTTTTTTTTCTTTTTGGGTCACACCTGGCGATGCACAGGAGTTACTCCTTGCTCTGCACTCAGGCATTATCCCTGGTGGTGCTCAGGGGACCATATGGGATGCTGGGAATCAAACCCAGGTCAGCCGTGTGCAAGGCAAATGCCCTACCGACTGTGCTATGGCTCCAGCCCCGGTATTTAGGTTTTACTCCTGACTCTGTACTCAGAGACTCCGGGGATCATATGTGATGCAGGGGTAAGTCCAGTGTAAGGCAGGTGGCCTACCTACTGCAAAATTGCTCTGTCCCTGAGTTCATGCTTTGTATGCAGGAGCCCAGGTTTAATCACTTCCGAATCCATGGTCCCCTGAATGCTGCTGGGAGTGTGCATAAAGTACAAAGCTGAAGGAGAACTCACCACAGCCATCTAGTGTGCTCCCAAGTCAAACAAATGGAACACAGATGACAGTATGAGATACCCAAGTGCTAACTCCAGGAACAGTCGGTAGGTGGTCTCTCTATACAGTGCTTGTGGTGGGGTTAGGGGGTCTGACTTGCCTGCCTGGACTTGAACCTATATGCAAAGCATGTGCACCAGCCCTTTAAGCTTTATCTCCCATCCAGATATAATTTTTGTTCTCCTCATAGATACAAAGCTTTGCTTGTTCCTTCCTACTTTTAATCTTTTGCGTGTAGATTAAAAGGCAAATGATCTCAGAAGAGTCATGATGATCTCAAGAGGTTCTTAAGCAAAGCAGAGCAAGGTAGTGTCACAGTGAAAAAACTTGGGCTTTCTTGTCAGATGCGAAGCTGAATCTCCTGTCTGCTCTTTGCTGAACACTAGATTTGCTGTCCTGAGTAAGTTATTTTACTTTTCTATTTCGCGTTTCTTTATCTGTAAAACACGATTGAGAATAACGTGTTTTGTAGCATGATCTGAGAATTGGGGATAAGTAAGGGAATAATGGGAAACTGGAAGCTTAAGTAATACGCTAGATTTGGGTAAAAATATTCCCACAATTCCCCTTTGTCCTATTGATAATATTTTCATCCTGGTAGTCAAAACAGTGGTTGAAAAGTACGATATACAAGCATTTGTTTGCGAGGGCGCCTGTAAGCATTTGTTCAATGAGTTACCAATAAAGTTTTGAATTTAAAAAAAAAACCACTCCGTTTCAATTAAGCTTGGCCCAAATTGCGAGCGGGAACCTTATCGCGAGAATTTTCCTCGAGATTTACTCTCGCGTTGTTTGTTTAAGTAGCGATGAGAGTTGAACGGGAAGCACAAAATACCGCGAGAGCTCCGCAGATTCTCGCGATGTACCTGAGCTCGCCCCTCCCCCCTTCCCCCAGTGCCGTTTCGGTTTAACCTAGTGTGTGACTGTGAGTCTGTGAGGGAGGAAGTGTGTGAGGTGTTGAGGTGAGGCGGAGGCAAGAAAAGGGGCTCCCTCAGGAGCAAGGGACAAAGGGGGCGTGAGGCGTCTAGGCCGCGGGACCCCAGCGACAGGAAGTCGCCCTGAGCTGAGCTACCGGGTAGGGGAAGGGCCCGCGCAGTCCTCACAGGGCCCCAGAGCCAGAGGCGGCCCTACAGCCCCGGACCGTCGGCTTCCTACTTCCTCGACCTCCCCGACGCCGGGGCCTGAGGAGCGGCTCGGCGGGGGGAGGCGGGGGGGACGGACTTGAGCAGCCAGCCGTTGTCTCGCAACTCTCCTGCTGAGGAACTCTCGCCGCTTCCCTGTCTCCTTCATCCCCCACCTCATGTAGGAGGGTGCTGAGGAGCGGAGAGGGAGGAGGAGCCTGGGCCACTGTCCCTTCCCTCCCCACCCCCTTCTAGGGGCGCTTTGGTAGGCGTGGGGTTGGGGCTGGGGGGGAGGGTGGGGGTTACTTTTTGGAGCGCCGGGGAACTTTTTCCCCTTTTTGAAGCCCGGGGAAAGGGAATGCCCAACCCAGAGAGACATGGGGGCAAGAAGGACGGGAGTGGAGGAGCTTCTGGAACTTTGCAGCCGTCATCCGGAGGTGGCAGCTCAAATAGCAGGGAGCGTCACCGCTTGGTGTCGAAGCACAAGCGGCATAAATCCAAGCACTCCAAAGACATGGGGTTGGTGACCCCCGAAGCCGCGCCGCTGGGTACGATGATCAAGCCTCTGGTGGAGTACGATGACATCAGTTCTGACTCCGACACCTTCTCCGACGACATGGCTATCAAACTGGACCGGAGGGACAACGACGACCGTCGGGGAACGGAGCGGAGCGACCGCCTGCACAAGCACCGGCACCATCAGCACCGCCGCTCCCGGGACTTGCTGAAAAGCAAGCAGAGCGAGAAGGAGAAAGCCCACGAAGTGTCGAGCAAGTCGGGGTCAATGAAGGACCGGGGGTCGGGGAGTTCCAAGCGTTCCAATGAGGAGAACGACGACTACGGGAAGGCGCAGTTATCCAAAAGCGGCAGCAACAAAGAGTCCCGATCCTTCAAACTCCACAAGGAGAAGATCCGGAAAGAACGGGAGCTGAAGTCGGGGCACAAGGACAGAAGTAAAAGTCACCGGAAAAGGGAAACCCCCAAAAGTTACAAGACGGTGGACAGCCCCAAACGGAGATCCCGGAGTCCTCACCGGAAATGGTCTGACAGCCCCAAGCAGGACGATAGCCCCTCCGGAGCGTCTTATGGCCAAGACTATGACCTTAGTCCTCCTAGATCTCACACGTCCAGCAACTACGACTCCTACAGGAAGAGCCCTGGGAGCACCTCAAGAAGGCAGTCAATCAGCCCCCCGTACAAGGAGCCCTCTGCCTATCAGTCCAGCACCCGCTCACCCAGCCCCTACAGTAGAAGGCAGAGGTCCGTGAGCCCCTACAGCCGGAGGCGATCATCCAGCTACGAGAGGAGCGGCTCCTACAGCGGCCGCTCCCCCAGTCCCTATGGTCGCAGGCGGTCCAGCAGCCCTTTCATGAGCAAACGGTCTCTGAGTCGGAGTCCACTCCCCAGGTGAGTTACCAGTCTAACAGGTCTTCCTTCCTTGGGGTGGGTTAGGTACGTGGTCGTCGGGCGTGGTGACATTGTGTTCCGTCCCCCAGTATTCATCGCTGACCAGGACGCTTAGCTCTAGGCTAGCCATTGAAGTAGGTGAATCTGGTGTTCTCTTCACCCAGAGTTGGCGAAGTAAAGAGTTCACTGCCTAATACTGCTGAAGGTAGGTACTCTGTAGGTGCTTTGTGGGCTCTTCATTGGTAAGCATCTGGGTGAGCAAAATCTTGGACTTCTGCTTATTAATACCATAGAGTTATTACTGGTTCTCTGACCTGGTCTAGCTGTTTAACTCTTCTTTTAGTTATAAAAAAGGACATTGGTGTTCTTTGGACCAAGTGAAGATGTATGAAATTAAGAAGTTTTTGTTTTAGTTATGTCAAGGTAATTTTCATAGATCATTTACCATTTATGTTGTCCACTGAGTTGTATTTTCTGGGTGTAGGGAGAGAGTACAGTGGGTAGGGCACATGCGGCCAACCCAGGTTCCATCTCCAGTACCCCATGTGGTCTAGTAATTCCTGAGCACAGAGCTATAAGTAACCTCTGAGCACTGCCGAATATGGGCTCCCCCCGAAAAGTGTTTCCTAATTAACCATATCTATGTATATATATTTTCCTTTTGGGCCACACTGGACACTGCTCAAGACTTAGTCCTAGCTCTGTGCCCAGGGATCATTTCTGGTGATGATTATGGAACTATAAGAGGTGTCAGGGATCAAACCTGGGTGGGTCTTGTGCAGCATGACAAACGTCTTACCTGTTGTGCTATCTTTCCAGTGATAATTTTGATTACTTTTTGATTTCTTACCAGACTTTGGGAAGGGGGATTACTTCTGGTTCAGGGGTCACTCCTGATGGTGCTCAGGAGACCACGTGCAGTACCAGGGATCAAACTAGTGTGTTTCTAGGGCCCAAGAGACATACTTGAAATTTTTAATGAAAATTGATCTTGATAAGTCCTTTTTCCTTTTGATGAAGCGGTGGTGTAGAAATTGACTCAAAGGAAAACTTGGTTTCATTTTTTTGTGGTGTTGAGTTTAAACCTAGGGACCTCATCCTTTAAGGCAAATATCCCTTCCACAGAGCTATATCTCTGCCCCTAATTTTTGTTTATGTATCACCCATCTGCTCAGGGATTATTCTCAGCTCTGGACTCAGGAATTACCCGTGGTGGTACTTTAGGGGACTCTGGGGAATGCCTGGGATTGAACCTAGGTTGGCTGCATGCAGGCCAGTTCCCTACCACTGTACTATTGCTCTGACTCCCCTAATTTGGTTTCATTAAATGGGCTTGGCCATCAACAAGGCAAGAGTCTTAACCTCTGTATGATCTCTCTGGCCCAGTTTTTAGGATCTTCATCTAAAGAAAGTTAGTAGTCGTCGGTTTTTTTTTCCCCCCCTTTCTGGGTCACACCTGGCGATACTCAGTGGTTACTCCTGGCTCTGCGCTCAGGAATTACTCCTGGCGGTTCTTGGGGACCATAGGTATGCTAAGGGATCAATCCCAGTCTGGCCGCCCACAAGACAAACGCCATACCCATTGTACTATCGCTCCCACCCTTTTTTTCTATTTTCAAGTTAAAAATTATTAGCAATGATAGTCTAAACTTATTAAACTGTAGTGTTCCTAGCTGTTAGGATTGAAGATCCTTAGTTTTTCCTATCCCATGGTAGCTCATATTCCTCCCCAACATGCCCCATTTCATTTTAATTTTTTAAACTCAGAAGTTGAAAAAACTAGTTGAAGGTGTGTACTACCTAGATTTTTGGGGGGGTGGGGAGCTGTTTTTGGGCCACATATTGCTCCTGGATCTGCACTCAGGCATGACTCCTGGTGTGCTTGGTCCCATATATGTGGAAATAGAACCTGGGCTGGTCGTATGCAAAGCAGGTGCCTTGTCTGCTGTATCCTCTCCATCCCTGTACTACATAGATTCTATTTTTAATATTTGCTGTGTATTATTTTTAATGATACTTCTCTCCATCAATCTCATTTTTATTCATTTGAAAATAAGCTGCATCACTGGAGAGATACTCAACAGGCTTTAAATGCATGCTTTGCATACAGGTAGGCCCTGGTTGCATCCCTAGCACCAGATGGTCCCCTGCATGCTGCCAGGAGCAACCTCCAAGCACTGCTGGGAATGGACCCTGAGCACTGCTAGTTGTTTCCCTAAACTAAAATAATTAAATTCAGGCCTGAGAATATAGCACAGTGGTAGAGCACTTGTCTTGTATGTGGGTGGGGCTGGCTTTGGTTTCTGACATAAAAAAATAAAAACAAGTAAGTTTTGGGGCTGAAGAGTGTACGGTGGCTAGGATTCTTTCCTTGCATGCAGCTGATTTTTTTTTCTTTCTTTTTGGGTCACATCCGGTGACGCACAGGGATTACTCCTGGCTCATATACTCAGGAATTACCCATGGCGGTGCTCGGAGGACCATATGGGATGCTGGGAATCAAACCCAGGTCGGCCGCGTACAAGGCAAATACCCTACCCGCTAAACTATCGCTCCAGCCCCTGATCTGGGTTTGATTCCCAGCACTCTGGTCTCAAGCACTGCCAGAGCAATCCCCAAACACAGAGCCAGCAGTAAGTCCTGGGAGTGCCCCTCACCTGAAAAAAAAAAAAGCTTTACTGGTATATTTCACTTACAAGCACTTTAGCAGTGTTTTTTTTTTTGGGGGGGGGGAGTGGTGGCATTACCCAATGGTGCTCAGGGCTTTCTTCTGAATCTGCACTCGGGGCACTCCTGATGTTGGTTGGGGGGCTACATATGTTGCCAAGATGAACTAGGTTTGGCCTCATGAAGGGCAAGTAAATGCCTTAACCATGTACTATCTCTCTGACCCCCTTAGAAACAGTTTTAGATTTTTTTTTTTTTTTTTTTTGCTTTTGGGTCACACCTGGCGATGCACAAGGGTTACTCTCTTGGCTTTGCAATCCGGAATTACTCCTGATGGTGCTCAGGGGACCATATGGGATGCTGGGAATCGAACCTGGGTCGGCTGCGTGCAAGGCAAACGCCCTACAGCTCCAGCCCCCAGATTTAGATGATTTTTTTTTTTTTTTTTTTGCTTTTTTGCTTTTTTGGGTCACACCCAGCAATGCTTAGGAGTTACTCCTGGCTCATGCACTCAGGAATTACTCCTGACAGTGCTTGGGGGACTATATGGGATGCCGGGGATTGAACCTGGGTCGGCCGTGTGCAAGGCAAACGCCCTACCCGCTGTACTATCACTCCAGTCCCTAGATTTAGAATTTTTAAAAAATTTTGTTTTGGACCCACACAGAGCAGTGACAGGGGCGATGCTCTGGACATGATACTCAGCATTATGGTTGGGTTGTTCCTGGAGTTGCCCTCACTGTACAATTCTGTGCTGATGAGTGAAGCATGGGTTCCTACATGCATGGGCTTCAGGCCTTTGAGCCACCTGCTTGACTCAGTTTTTTTGTTGTTGTTGTTGTTTTAATTTGGGTGTTGGAACACACATGTGGTGATGCTGAGGGAATCACTCCTGGGTGTGTTCAGAGGACCATGTGGGGTACTAGGGATTGAATCTGGATCAACCATGTGCTGTCACTCTGACCCCCCCCCACACACAGTGTTTGTTTTCTTATTTTTTTTTCAGACAGTAGAAAAGATTACTGGAAAATGAAAGAGCAAGGAAAAGAAACTCCCGATGTGGGGAGGAACTTAGTATATATCTAAGTTGTGTAGTATTTGTTTTCTTGATAGAATAACTTCACCAACATTGTTCTGAGAATGTTTGTTTTTGAGATTGTTCCTGGTTGTGCTAGGCCAGTCTTCAGGAGCAGTGCCGTGTATTGAATTGGAGTCTATCACATGGAAAGCAAGAGCTTTAACTTTTTTTTTTTTTTTTGTCTTTTTGGGTCACACCTAGTGATGCTCAGGGGTAACTCCTGGCTCTGCATTCAGGAATTGCTCCTAGTGGTGCTCGGAGGACCTGGGATGCTGGGGATCGAACCAGGGTCAGCCACATGCAAGGCAAAAAGCCGTAACCACTGTACTATTGCTCTGACCCATAGAGCTTTAACTTCTATGCTCTCTTCCACAGGACAAAATTTCTTTTAGAGGGGGGCACACTCAGTGATGTGCGGATTACTCCTGGCTCTGCACTCAGAATTCTCCTGGTGGTGCTTTTCTTTTTTGATTTTTGGGCCACTCCTAGCAATGTTCAGGGGTTACTCCTGGCTCTATACTTAGGAATCAATTCTAGCAGTGCTTGGGCATCATATGGGATGCTGGTATTTGAACCCTAGTTTAATGTGTGTAAGGCAAATGCCCTACCTACTCCTGGGGCAAAATTTTTTTTTTCTTTTTGGGTCACACCCAGCAATGCACAGGGGTTACCTCCTGACTTTGCACTCAGGAATTACTCCTGGCAGTGCTCGGGGGACCATATGGGATGCTGAGAATCGAACTCTGGTTGGCCGCATGCAAGGCAAACGTACTAAACACTGTACTATTGCTCTAGCCCTTGGGACATAATATCTTTAGATTCATGATAGAGGAATGTACAGATCCCTTGTATGGCATTCTCTGTTTTGTTTTGCTTTGCTAGTTTCAGTCAAATTGAAGACAAAATGATTTGGCAGAAATGGTGGCAGTTTCATTCAAATGCATAAACCCCAAAACAAAAGTGAGCACATGATTTGCATGCAGAAGACTAAGATTCAGTCGACCAAGTAGCCCTTGGAGCACCAAACCAGGAGTAGCCCTAGAGCAGCACAGTGTGTGTCTCCAGAATAAAACAAGAATTGTTATTGTAGAAAGTAACCTCTGATTTTTTTTAAGTGTCTGAGATTTTAGAAATTTTACTAGGATAGAGATGCTTGATTTGCCCTAGTTATAATTCAAAGAAAAATCTAGTTTCAGCTATTCAAAGGAGAAGTATTAGTTTTCTTAAGCGAAAGTGGATACCTAGCAAATCCATTTAACTACTTAAGTGGTTTATATCTTTCTGTTGGTATGTGTGTATTGTTTCCAAATACTTTGATTTCAGTAGTGACTATAATATAACTTTTGGGAGGAAACTTCCAAAAAGTAGTATAGATATAAGAAAGTCATGACCATTATGTAAGTTTTCCCCCCTACATAATTGTATTTGTTTTGGTTTTTGATTCACACTCAAGGGTGCTCAGGGATTACTTCTACCTCTCGGATCCTAGCTAGTTTAGGAGACCATATGGGGTGTTGGTGATCAAACCTGGGTCAGCTGTGTACAAGACAGGCACCCTACCCGCTGTACAGTCTTTTTGTCCTCAGTTTTGAAGTATTTTGAGTCACATCAGTGAGTCAAATTATTAAAGGAAAATAGCACCACGGGGCTGATGAAAAAAATAAAGGAAGGGGGGGAAAATCTAGGATAGGAACAATTAGGAAATAAAATATTTTAAGGTCAAATTATGTTTTGTTCGGTCACCTTTTTTTTTTTAGTTACATTTTTTAGTGCTATTTTTTTGTTTTTTTTTGGATCACACCCAATGGTTCATAGGGGCTATTCCCAAGCTCTGTGCTCAGGAGTGACCCCTGATACTGTTCAGGGGACCATATGTGGTGCCAGGCATTCAAATCAGGGTCTCAGCAGCTATACCACATGCATGGTAAGTGTCTTACCTTCTGTATTCCTAGTCCCCTTGTGCTTATCTGACCCCTTCATCCCCACATTGAGGCTTAAACATGTTTGCTTTTTTTTTTTTTTTTATTCTGTTTTACACTTGATATTTTTCAGGGCCTACTCCTGGTTATGTACTCAAGGGTCACTCCTTGGTATTATACTGGGGAGTGTATACCAGGTACCAGGACCAGGTACCAGGAACTGAACTGGGGTCAGCTCCGTACAAGACAAGCATCTTAACCCTTGTACTACCTCTCTACTCTATTAAGTGTGTGTGTGTGTGTGTGTGTGTGTGTGTCACAACTGGCACTGCTCCCGAGTGATCTGTGGTGGTACGCAGGGGCCTGTACTTGATATCAGGGTTCTGAACTGGAGTTGGCTGGATGTAAGGAATAAATAACCCTTGAGCAAAGAGTCAGGTGTAGCTTCTGAGGACGGTACAAAGTGACCCAAAAAATAAAGGGAAAAAAGAAAAGTAGCTTTTTTAATTAAAAAATTTTGTCTCCTGGTGTTCAGTGAAGTATACTAGTTTTTAATTTTTCCAATTTATGTCACTTGCATTTACAATAAAGCATGACTTTGTTTTCATTATAATTTTACATTAATAATCAGAACCCAAATGCTCAAAATAATAATTTTTATTATTATAAATAATTGGTAATTTTCAGTGAAAATTTTATCCATCTACAGGGGCTATAGAGATAGTAAAGTGCGCAGGTACTTGCTGTGCACCCGGGTTCAATCCCCAACACCCCATGTGGTCCCCTAGCCTTTCTAGGAGTGGTCTTTGAATACAGAGCTAGGAGTAAACCCTGTGCACAGCTGGGTATGGCCCCAAAACAAACAAAAACACCCAAGAAAGAAAATTGTATTAATCTTCAGTTGAATAAATAGTGGTAAGTTTTAGTGTATTCCTTCTGATCTTTGTGTGTCTGTGTATCTATATGTATGTGTAAATGTTTGGGTTTGGGGGCCATTTAGTAATTAGGAGCTATTCTGATATAGTGCTTAGGGGGTACTTCTATTGATTTGAGCTATCTCCTTGGCACTCCATAAATAATTCTTTGGGTGGGGAAGCAGTGCTGAGATTTAAACCTCAGGCCTTACACATACAAGGCAAATGCTCTGTTGCTGAGCCACATCCCTGGCCTTTAAATACATATATTTTCTCACATGGGGTAGGGGGTTGGAGCAGCCTGGGTGTGTGCTTAGATCTGGCAGTGCCCAGGTCCAGTGCTGGGGGTTGAACTGGGGTTGTCTGCATGCAAGACAAGACTTTTAACACCTGTACTATACCTTTGGTCCCCTAATTTTTGGGCCACACCCAGCAGTGCTCAGAGGCTATTCCTGATTTCTTGCCTAGGAATGATCCATGATTTTGTGCTCTGGGGACCATGTTTGATTCCAAGGATCCAAACTGGTGTCTAGAGGATGCAAGGCAACCCCTTTACCCCTTTACTGTAGCCCCCAATAATTTTTATTTGTTTTTATTTGGGGGCCACACCTGGTGGTGCTCAGGGGTTACTCCTGGCTCTGTGCTCAGGAGTTACTCCTAGTGGGGCTCCAGGACCATATGTGGTGCCAGGGATCAGACCTTGGTTGGCCACATACAGGGTAAGTGTCCTAACTCTTGTACTCTTACTCCAGCCCCAGATCAAATTCTTAAATGTCTTAGAGCACAGCTTTCGTATTTAACTAGCATCTTTATTATAGTATTATTATTACACTTAATTAAGGAACATTAATATGTAAGATATAATACCTTTGTATAAGATTGCTAGTGATTTTTTTTAAGTTATAGTTCTCCAGGCTTTGTTTTATCGGATCTACTTTCTTCCATGTTGCTGTAGTCTACGCATTTTCTTTTTATTATTGCCTGCATTTATATCTTTTCCTTTTTCTTTTTCCAGTAGGAAATCCATGAAGTCTAGAAGTAGAAGTCCTGCATATTCAAGACACTCATCTTCTCACAGTAAAAAGAAGAGATCCGGGTCACGCAGTCGACATTCCAGTATCTCACCTGTCAGGCTTCCTTTGAACTCCAGCTTGGGAGCTGAACTCAGTAGGAAAAAGAAGGAAAGAGCTGCTGCTGCTGCAGCAGCAAAAATGGATGGAAAGGAATCCAAGGGTTCACCTATATTTTTGCCTAGGAAGGAAAACAGTTCAGTAGAGGCTAAGGATTCGGGCTTGGAGTCTAAAAAGTTGCCCAGAATTGTAAAATTGGAAAAATCTGTCCCAGATACTGAAGTGTTGAATGTAACATACACAAACACAGAAGTCAAAAATTCTTTAGATGCAGGGAAAGTAAAGTTGGATGAGCACTCTGAGAAGCACCCTGTTAAAGATTTTAAAGTACAGGGAATAAGAGACTCTAAGCCCGTAGCTCTGAAAGAGGAGATTGTTACTCCAAAAGAAGCAGAGACATCTGAAAAAGAAACCCCTCCACCTCTCCCAGTAGTCACTTCTCCACCTCCTTTACCAACTACTACTCCACCACCTCAGATGCCCCCATTACCACCTTTGCCTCCATTACCAGCTATTCCACTGCAACCACCTCTGCCTCCTCCCCAGCCAGCATTTAGTCAGGTTCTCACTTCCAGTACTTCAGCTTTGCCCCATTCTACCCACCCAAGGACATCTACTTTGTCTTCTCAGGCAAATTCTCAGCCCCCTGTACAGGTTTCTGTGAAGACTCAAGTATCTGTAACAGCTGCTATTCCACACCTAAAAACTTCAACATTGCCTCCTTTGCCCCTCCCACCCTTATTACCTGGAGATGATGACATGGATAGGTAAGTCTTATAGCTAACTGGGAAAATTTAACTTTTTTTTAACCTAAATATAATGTGTTACCTGTCCTTAAACTCTGTCAGAACTTCCAATGTATGATTAGATTTTTTTTTTATGAGTAGAAAATACAAATGTCTCTGATGTTTGATTTTCAGTGGGAAAATTCTTAGATTTACTTAGAATGAGATTTATAGCATGAGGTCTAATAAATCATTTTCTCGAGGCTGGCGATACAGTAGAACAAATATGTGCTTGCCTTGCCACAGCCAACCTGGGTTTGATCGTTGGCTTTCTGTGCATTCCTCTCAGCACTGCCAGGAATGATTCCTGAGTGCAGAGCCAGGAGTAACCCCTGAGCATCACAAGGTGTGGTACAAAAACAAACCCAAAAAACTCATCTTCTTATGTTTTATTGATAAGACTTAATTTTGATACAGATTTTTTAAAAATGACTTTTTCTCAAAATTTGCTATGTTTTGGGGTGTAGAGTAGTTCAACAGGTAGAGCTCTTGCTTTGCGTGTAGGAGGCTCAAAGTCAGATTCATTTACTGGAATTGGACTGTATAGTCTCCAGAACATCACTGGCAGTAGCACTGTCCTCCCATTGTTCATCGATTTGCTCCAACGGGCACCAGTAACGTCTCCATTGTGAGACTTATTGTTACTTTTTTTGGCATATTGAATACATCAAGGGTAGCTTGCCAGGCTTTGCCGTGCAGGCGGGATACTCCCGGTAGCTTGCCAGGCTCTCCGAGAGTGACGGAGGAATCGAACCCGGGTCGACTGTGTGCAAGGCAAACACCCTACCCGCTGTGCTATTGCTCCAGCCCACAACTGGCAGTAACCTCAGCTTATTACCAGAAGCGGCCCTTCAGTATCCCTGGGTATGGCTTGATAATAAAAAAAAAAAAAAAGAAAAATTATTTCTTTCCTTTTTTTGTTTTTTGGGTAACACTGGCGATGCTCAGGACTTTGCACTCAGGAATCACTCCTGGCAGTGCTCAGGGTACCATATGGGTTTCTGGGAATCGAACCCGGGTCGGCCGCATGCAAGGCAAACGCCCTACCTGCTGTGCTATCGCTCCAGTCCCAAAAAATTACTTCTTTTTAGTTTTTTTGTTTTGTTTTGTTTTGCTTTTTGGGTCACATCCAGCAATGCTTGGGGGTTACTCCTGGCTCATGCACTCAGGAATTACTCCTGGCGGTGCTCGGGGGACCATATGGGATGCTGGGAATCGAACCTGGATCGGCCATCTTAGATGTGTGTAAGGCAAACGCCCTACCCGCTGTGCTATTGCTCCAGCCCCCTTGGTTTTTTTTTTTTTTTTTTTTTTTTTTTTTAGGTTAGAGTTTGGGCCACCCATAAGTGCATGGACCAGGCTGGTGAGATAGTACCATGGATAACGAGCTTGCCTTACACGTGGGCGACCTGGGTTTGATTCCTAGTACCCCATATGGTGCTCTAAGTACCACTAGGAGTGATCTCTTCAGCACAGAGCCAGGAGTAATCCCTGATCATTGCTAGGTGTGACCCAAGAAAACACAGGAAGTGCATGGACTATTCTGCCTCTGCTCAGGCGTGATCCCAGGCAGGGCTGGGTCACCAACATAATGTTCTGTGGATTCAAACTAGATTTGGCTGCATGCAAGGCAAGTGTCTTACCCTCTTTTTTGTCTTTGGGACTACCCAGTAATGCTCAGCATGCTATTGGGGGGCACATGGGTGCCATGGATTGAACTTGGAGCTCCTACACGCAAGGTTTTATGAGCTACCTTTCTAGCTCCCTTAAATCTTTATGTTGAAATTTTAATAGCTAAAGGAAAAAAGTGCCATAGTTAACACATTCATCTAGCTCCACCAATTACTAATGCTTTGCCATATTAATTATGACACTTCTGATTATGTGAACATATCTCATAAAATAGTTTTCTGTAACAATTTTACTCTAAAATAAAATGATTTAATAATACCATATAAATGTTACATTATAACATTTAATGTAACATAACATTTAATAAATGTTATCATATAATGTTAAGTTAGAAGATAAGAAAAGAAAGGCCCTCCCGTTGATCGTCGATTTGCTTGAGCAGGCCCAGTAACGTCTCCATTGGAGACTTTGTTGTTACTGTGTCTGGCATATCGAATACTCTCGGTAGCTTGCCGGGCTCTCCGAGAGGGGCAGAGGAATTGAACTCGGGTCGGCCATGTTGGCTGCTTGTAAGGCGAACGCCCTACCGCTGTGCTATCGCTCCCCTCAGATATCCCAAATAATATATTTTATAGCTGTTTTGTTCTCTTTTTTTTTTGCTTTTTGGGTAATACCTGGCGATGCTCAGGGGTTACTCCTGGCTTTGCATTCAGGAATTACTCCTGGCGGTGCTCCGGGAACCATATGGGATGCTGGGAATCGAACCCAGGTCGGCCACATGCAAGGCAAACACCCTACCCGCTGTGCTATCACTCCAGCCCCTGTTTTGTTCTTTTTTGTTTTTTGAATTTGCTTTGGGCCATACCTGGTAGTTCCAGGGCATACATCGGTGCTGTATTCGGGGATCACTCCTAGCAGGCTCAGGGGACCATATTGTGTACCAGGAATCAAACTGGACCTTAGCCACTGTAATTAGTCTCTGGCCCTTATAACTTTCTTTTTGGTTTTGTTTTTTAAACTCCTGCTCCATGAGAAAAATAAACCTTATTTATTTATTTTGCTTTTTGGGTCACACCCAGTGATGCACAGGGGTTACTCCTGGCTTTGCACTCAGGAATTACTGCTGGCGGTGCTTGGGGGACCATATGGGATTGCGGGAATCAAACCCAGTTCCACAGGTCTGTCACATGCAAGGCAAACGCCCTACCGGCTGTACTATTGCTCCAGCCCCAAACCATATTTATTTTTGAAAAATGTTGCTTTTGTTTTGTTTTTGGACCACACCAGGAAGTCGACAGGGATTACTCCTACTTCCATGCTTGAGGTTTACTCATGGCAGTGTGTAGGGGATGTGGCAGTGTGTAGGGGATGTGGCAGTGTCTGGGGGCCATATTTGGTGTGCGGGATCAAGTCTGGGTATTCTGTGTGCAAAGAATGGCACTTAGCCCATTGGGTTATCTCTCCAGACCCAAAGGGACTGCTTTAAAAAAATGTTTTTAATTACTCTGTAAGAAGTAAAAGAACAACACATCGGATCTTTGGTAATGAGAATATAAATTCACAATGGGATGATAGAAAAAACTGATTTTAATAAGTCCTAAGTATTGAGAACTGAAATGATTATTCAGCCTGAGTCTGATTTTATGGAAGGCATTAGGAAATATGTTTATTTAATTCCCTGGGAGAACTAGCTAGACAAGTATCACTCAGTCACTCAACAAACATGCTTTAGTAGTGACAAATGCCATAGTAATTTTTGTTACTTTTTTTTTTTTTTGCATTTTAAAACAGATACTCCTCTATTATTCTCTAGGATATAAGATTTATTTTTGCAACAAATTTTTTTTTTGTCTTTGGACCAACACCCTGTGGTACTCAGAGCTTAATCCTGGTGGTGCATGGGCACAGGCAAGCGGAGAGTATATGTGGTGCTGGGATTGAACTGGGAATGGCTGCATACAAGGCGAGTACCTTGACCCTTATACTATCTCTCCAGCCCATCAACAAACTTTCTTTCTGAGTTCAAGTATAAGTACTAGTGAATGATCTTGCCTCTCATGCCATTTTTGCCCAGCTTCCCTACTTAGCAAATGGCATCAGTTGATTGATGATACATTTTCCAGACCCTGCACCTTTTTATTTATTTTATCTTTTTTGCTTTTTGGGTCACACCCGGCAGTGCACAGAGGTTACTTCTGGCTCATACACTCAGAAATTACTCCTGGTGGTGCTCAGGACCATATGGGATGCTGGGAATCGAACCTGGATCAGCCGTGTGCAAGGCAAACGCCCTACCCGCTGTGCTATCGCTCCAGCCCCTTTATATTTAAAAAAGAGGGCAGAGTTATACAAGGCATATACCTGGCATGCTACCAGTTCCTATTTGATTCCAGGTACCTCATCTGATCACCTGAACTCTGTCAAGAGTGATCCCTGAACGTAGGGCCAGGAGTAGCTTCTGAGCACTGCTGGCTGTGACTCCACCACCAGGGGGGAAAAAGAAACCAGAGAGATAGCCAATGAACCGAGTATGTATTTTGTATGTGGGAGGACCATGTTGGATTCCTAGCACTGCATGGTGCCCTGAGCACAGCCAGATATGCCCTAAAAACCATATTATACTTGGGTACTTGAGAGGTAGCTCACAGTGCTATACTTTGTGAGAAACCTGAATTTGATCACCAGTACTTCATGGTCCCCCGTAAACTGTAAAGAATAACCCCAGAGTAGTATGCCAGGCATAGTCCCTGACTACTGCCAAGTATAACCCCTGAACAGCCACAGTGAAAAATATATACATAATAGGGCATGTGGGGGGCCCCATGTTCTATTCTCAGTAATGTATTGTCCTGAACACAATCAATGGTGGCCTCAGAGTTACCTGGAATGATAGTATAGTGGATTGAGTGTTTGCCTTGCATGTGGCCTGCACTGGTTTAATCCCCAGCATCTCATACAGTTTCCCAATTCCCTTAGAAGTAATCCACAAGTATAGAGCTAGAGGGAATCCCTGAGCTCTGCTGGGTGTGACCCCCAAACAAAAATAAAACAGAAAGGTGACCTGTAGGGTATAGAACCAGGATTTACCCTCAAACAGCTGGATATAAGGAAAAAATTTTTCAAAAGAATGTAGAGGCTGAAGAGATAGGACAGGGGTTAAGGCTTATACTTGCCATGTGGATAACCCCAGGTTCTGTCCCAAGCACCACATGGGGCCAGGAGTGTCCTGCAGTGCAATCCTGAGGTCTCCCTGCCTGCCTATCCCCAGAACTGCTGAGATGGTCTGAGATAATCACCAGCACTTTGGGGCTTGAGCAGCATTTCATCCTTGATCCTTTACATTAAACCAC